ATCACCAGAATTTTCAGAGAAGTAGCTTTATGCAAAAAACTTCAGATGACAAAAGACAAAGACAAACCCTAGGACAATATAAATTACTCATTTTTTATACTTCTCAAAAGCTTTGCAACTTATAGCAAGACTTGCATAAGTAACTGTAAGATGCAATTCTACTCAATAAGCTTACCACAGATTTCCATCACGTGGCACAGCAAATACTTGGTTCTGTAAGAGAACTTAAAGAAGGCTGTTATTTCAAACTACTTGAAATAAACAACTCAAAGCTTATCTACTTCATCAGCCTTTGAGAAAGTAATGTTGAATTATCTTTAGTATTTTTTCATCTATTTGTGCATGGATGATGCTATTTTTTCTTCTGTAACCTAAAGGGCCCTTTAAATACCACAAAAGCAATAGAAGTCAAGCTCACATTTTTTAAGGATTAAGTTAAACATTCACCAATCAACAGTTGTAATTCTGTGCAATACAGTCCAATTGACTTTAAGATTGGAACAGCCTAAAACACTAATTTTACTGAGCATCGTATTTCAGTGCTTCAGTATTCAAAGTACATCTGCTTTTATGTGAAAACCATAAATCTAGAAATTAGCTTTATATCTACTGCCAAGATTGAAATCGTAATTCCCATAGGGCAGCACGTTGAATGATATGAAGGCACTGTTTTGCTAGACACATTCAGTTGTGAAACTCAAATCAAATCCTACAGAGCAGTTGAAATTCCTATTGGGTGCAGCAGAAGACTTTGCATACTGTTAAATTTGAATTGGTTCTTCAGTCTGTCGCAGCTTTGATAAACCCTCCTCAGAAAAGAGTTGACTGGCATTGGACTTTTGAAGAGTGAAGTTTTCAATCAACCCAGGTAAGCCTGCTAAGCAGAGGGCACTATGGGGATATTAAAGGTTGAAAGAATGCATCATTTAGCACCTACTGGTCACCTACAGGACAAGTTTTATACTCAGAATTCAATAAATTGTCCACATCCAGGAACTCCATACCTTGAAGCAAAGTCTCTAGCTTCCTGATGTGCTGGAAGAACATTCTGACTAACCACTTCCTAAACAATTAAAACATAAGTAGTTAAAAATTAGCACTTCTATTCCAAAGCAAAGGACTGATGCAACTACAAAAACATCCTCATGCCGCTTTACAACCAAGAAACAGCATCAGAATGGAACAAGAGACATTCAGAGTGCAGTACAGGAAAGCCACTATGCTGGCTGCAGAGATGGATGCTGATGTTTGTCTGCCTTCACCTACACAAACAGCCTTAGAGCCCACACAATTAGGAGAAACACAGGAACACAGCTTCAGCTCCCTCCTCCTTCCTGCAGGTGCTTGCTTCACTGTCTACCCACCTCCTGCCACGACACTCAGTTGTGCCTTCTCAACAGCTATCCGCTATCAGCCCAGATAAGCTGCAGGCAGCAGAAAGCTTGCCAGGGACAGGCCAAAATACACAAGTGAAGACAACTGAGCTTCAAACAGGAGCCAAGGACGTGTACCTGTCACTGTTTTGCCTCCAAGGCAGATGGAGAGGAGCCTTGGTGCAGCAGCTGAGCCTCACACCAGCGTGCTAGCCTAAAGTAAGGCAGAATCAGGACACAAGCCCAGATGTGTGAAGAAGACACCTCCAGCAGAACTGGCTCACCAGCAGGACCAACCAGAGCCAGACACACCGGCTCTCTCCCACAGAAAGCCCATCACAGTACGCAGATCCAAAGGTAACAACAGAGGATGCTTAGCAGCCAGATGAGCTCTGCAATGTGTTGTCCCCTCAGGAGAGAAGCAGATACGACTGACTGTCCCTTCCAACATCTGTATGCAATTTGAGGGACAGGGACAGTGTAAAATCCACACAGACACAGAGAACTGCATTTAAAAAAAGAAAAAAGGAAATCAAAGGATGATGCTCTCCTCATTTTCACACTACTTCTCCACTTCCCACTTGCTGAAAAAAGTGTCAGGCCCAAAGACACTAAACTGAGCTATGAACATTTCTCATGGTCCCTTCAGAACATTCATATTACTTAACACAATATATTTGCACTACTCAGCTATAATGAAGGATAATCAGAAATGCAATAAGGGCAACCAGGAACCTCACCACTCCTTCTCCTCCCCAGGCCTTTACCCATTTCCTCCTTTTAACAGCACAACCCAACAATTTCCTCCTGCAGTAGGAAGCTTAAGTTAACCAAGGATTCAATTCCCTGTTAAGAATGTGGTCCATGACAAGACATTTGCAGTTTGGGGAGGAACAGCACAGACCACAGCACCCAGAGCTGGGGTCAGAAGCATATGTTGTTGGCAGCACTGCACTCACTGTCCTCACCTGGTCTTCACAAGTCATATAGACAAGTTCATCAAGTACAAAACTCTAAAATGCTGCAAAAGTGTTTTTATTAACAACGACAGTAACTGAAGATCATAGATATTCCTTCTATTTAGGAAGAGTCAGACCCATCATCCAGTCTAAGAGCTAATAGTATTTTAAGGGCAAAACACAACAACCAAAGCTTCAGGGTAGAATTGGTCCTGTTGAAAGAGGTGTGTGAAAGAGTCCTTGGCTGAAAACATAGCGCAGGCACGCAGGCATGGTCTCCCACCTCATGACTGCTGGTACAGGAGATACTCTAAGGACAAAAAAGGAACACAGCACTAGTCCAGCTATTCAGCCCCAAACCTGCATTTTGTAGAGGAAAATGATTAAATACCCTTGTTAGTCACGAACAAGTATGGTTCTGTATGCACTGCAGAACTTGTGAAGCACAATGATCTTCCATGGGAAACTCAATGAAGTAGCACTTAGCAGAAGCATAATCCAAGCTCAGAGGAGTGAAATACCTGGTCATCAGACATTAACTTTCCTACCTCTTAGCTTTACTCTGGGCAAGGAAGAGAAAAGCAGAAGCTGAAAAAGAAAGAATAGCCTAAATCCATGACTTTCAAGAACTTTTTCTGCCCCCCAAACAATAGAGTCAAGTTCTGCTGTCCTGGATGCCTTTCTTTTCTGCAAACAGCAACTGTCTATAACTCTAAAAGAGCAAAACCTGCTCCAGACTGCAAGTTCACCAGTACTGCAAAATGACTGATAAGAGTGCTGCTGTCATCCACCTTTTCTTAAAAGAAGCCATTTCCAGTGCCTCCAACTGCAGTTCAGAGGGAGCATACTTTCTGCATGCATTTTTCTTACCAGCTTTCGCAGGTACTGCAGGTTGAATGTCACTGTTCTAAAGCCAGGTGCACTCTTCCAAGCTCATTTTAGGCCGTATGGCTAGGTTTTATCATTTCTTTGGAATAAACTCTGCAAGCTTAAGTATTCAGTATTTTATTCCACTGTCTTTTCTAAGTAGTCCAACACTTGTTTAGTTTTAATGCTATACCATCTTACAGTTAAGCACCTGGATGATTTTTACATCAACTCAATTTTTAATGAGTAATAAAGACAGAGGTAGAACATTAACACTTTATCAAGCAAGAATGCATTTTTAAAATTGTCCTTAGGATGATCATTCTGAAACATTTCCTGGAGACATTCACTGATTCATAGGAAATCCAACATCTTCGGTGCCCTTTTTGGAGTATTAAATTCTAGTTAAAATGTTGTAGAGTACTGGCACCTCCGAACTTTCAACACAAAGTCTTCTTTCTTAGTTTTGTCCCAAGAGCAAGGAAAACAAGATGATGCAACAGAAGGGCAACACCACTTTTGTTACATCTGCCAACTGCCACAACACAAGCCAGTTTATATTCTGCACTATGCATCCACATACCCATATCAAACTATAATAGAGAAAAAAGAAAAAAAAAAAAGAAAGAAAAAATATTGCTAAGTTGCACTTCCCAAACTACAAGCTACTCATACATGCCTTCACCTGCATGGAAAGATGTTTAACTGAATGCCAGTACATACCAGAGAGTCAAAACATTAGGTAAAAACAAATGTAAAAAAAAAAAAATTTGAGAGTCCCGACTATTAAATAATAAAGAAACAAACAAACATTTTCACCACGTTTCGTTTCAGAGGAAAGTTGGCAGGGAGTTAGACTCATCCCTGACTGCTGACTTACCCAGACATTACAGCACATGTGAGTGCTGGAAAACTCAATGCAAAACTTACTTATTGAACACTTTCTTCCCCCTTATATTAACAAATCCCAAAGAGACGTGTCTTTGAAAAAGAAGCTGAAAAAAAAATAAAGAAAGAAAAATGAAAGAGAAAGAAAAAAGAGGAAACGCAAACATGCAGCAGCAGCACAGGACCGAACGTACAGTCAGACCTCCATTTAGAAAGCATCCTACCTGGAAGTAACTGAAAAAGATGCTCCAACAAAGGAGGTGTCCTGGCAGAAAATAACTGCAGCAACAATAGCACTGAGGCAACTGCATGCCTCAGGAGAGTAAGAGTAGTGGCATCAGTCACTGTGGTGCAGGTAGGAACACCTGGGCAGTCCCTGATAACATCCCAAGTCATTGCTACCACTGCTGTATGGGTGCTACACCAGCGTTCTCTTTGCTGTTGAAGTACATCCATTAACTTATTTCCCACGTAGGTGTGATAAAAAGACAAGACCCTCGAGCATTCTCACAGCACACCTTACACAGTGACGCTTTGCTCCACGAAGGGCTCGCAGGGGCCTGGTTAGCCACCACGGCCACAAGAACTCCACTGTAACAGCTTGTGCGGAGCGTAAAAAGTTGCCTTATGCGGCAGCTTCCACATCCACCCTACATCTGCCTCAGGTGCTCCGAGCACCCCTAACAGCGCCCGACTCAAGCTGCCTGTGCTCTCCACGTCCCGCAAGGCAAGCGAACACCCCACCTCGCCCACCCGCCTCACGGGGCAGAAAAGCGACCGGCTCCCAACTCCCGGTGCCACTCGTCCCAACTTTCCCCACCTCACCCAGCTGCCCGAGCTCCCGTGTGCCCACGCGGAGCGACGAGGCGGGGAGGACACGCGTGGGGCCCCGCGGCTGGGGGCACGCGCTCACCTGGAGGCAGCTGGAAGTTGGCCGGCAGCTGGATGGTGGCGGCGGGCGGCCCCTTGGGTACCACCAGCGGCCGCGGGCCCCCCGCAGCAGCCGCGCGCACCGCCGGGGGCCCCGCGGAGGGAGCGGAGGGCGCCGGGCAGCCGGGCACCTTGGCGGCGGGGCTGCCGCACGCGGGAGCCGGGCCCCCGGCGGGAGAGCCGGCGGGCGGCTGCTCCGGGTGCCCGCCGGGCATCAGCCTGACGGGGGCCGCCGCCGTCGCCGGGGCGCTCATGGAGAAGGAGAAAGAGAAGGCGAGGGGGGCGGCCGGGTCGCGTAGGGCCCCGCGCCGCCCCGCAGCATCGCTCGGCGATCAGGCGCTGCCCCGGCCGGCGGCACACCGCCCAGCACACATGGTCACCCCGCCGCCGCCGCCTACTGCTCGGCGGCCCCACGTGGGCCCGGCCTCCCCTGCCGGCGGGAGGGAGAGAGGGCGGGCGGAGGGCGGGCCCCGGCCGTCGGCTCGTCCTACTGCGGCGGCGCCCAGCCCAGCCCTGCCCCGAGCGTCTCGGGGCCCGCGCCCGGCCGCCGCCCGCCGTGTTTATAGCGCCATGCGGAGGACGCGCAGGCGCTCAGGCTGCGCGCCGGGCCGCGTCACGGGGCTCACGGGGCGGGGCTGGAGGCGTCCCGTGGCGCTGCGGGGGTTTGGGGTGCGCGGCTGCCCTTGGAAACAACCGCGGCCCTTAATGGCACTTCCCGTCACACGCTGAAAGTTGTTTGAGAGCAGCCGGCGGGTCAGCGTGCTCTGTTAGGGATGGCGGCGTGACCTTCAGCTATTTTAGGGCTGTGTTTTCTGAAGGGTGCCTATGCCCGTAAAGCTGAAGGAGCTCTGCTCACCTGCTCAAGGTGAGTGCAGCACGAGTCAGGGCTTGGTGTGTGGTACAAGAAGCACAACGTGCAGCAAAGAGCAAGAAAAGCAAAAAACAAAAAGGAAGTTTCATTTCAACTCATATTACCCATGTAAAATGTGAATAGAATGCAAATACCACCACCGCCGCCCTCTGTGCCCTGAGAGATGGCTCAGTGTACTGCTGCTCACAGTTCATCCCACTGCAGGAGGAAGACAAACAGTCCCCACCCATTTCCACTCACAACTTTGTTTAATTTCAGTGTTACTGCTTTAAAATGCTGTCAGCAGTTGCTGAAACAGAACAGAGCACTACAGAGCACTCAGAACTACAAGCACGTGGCCACAGCTTCATGTCTAGCAAGGTCAAGCCACATTCTCCCAAACTGCTACAGGCAGCAGCAGCAGCACAAAGACACGACACAGAGCCTGGCTGAAGAAATGCCTTGATATTTATACACCTTAAGCTCATCCTACCTTACCTGTGCCATAGTTACACTGGTAGCTGTAGCAGATTGCAGAAAGCGCTGCTGTCCTAATTTGCAACATACCAGGTCAGACAAAGTGCCAGAGATATATATTCCTACCTTCCTACCTACTATTTGGGATCTAAGCATAGCACTTGTTCTCTTGCACAGCATCTCCTTGCTCTCGTCACTACAGCTTCCATTCCTCTAGCCTCAACCATTCTCCTGCTTTTCCAGAAGAAACTCAGACCAAAATCCCACAGAGGGAGCAGCAACAGAGCAGCAGCTTCTGGAGAAGAGGAAGCTCAGGAAGATGTTACTGCTCTCTACAGCTGCCTGAAATTAGCTTGTAGCAAAGTGGGGGTTAGCTTCATCTCACAAGTAACAGCAATAGAACAATAGGTAATGTCATTAAGGTGTGGTTCCAGGAAAGGTTCAGGTTGAATATTCAGAAAAAATTCTTCTCAGAAAGAGCAGTACGGTATTGAAACAGGCTGCTCAGGGTGGTGATGAAGTCACTGTCCCTGGAAGTGTTCGAGAACAGGACAGAAAGTGGCACTGAGGGATATGGTTAGTGGGCATGGTCATAATGTCTTAATGGTTGGACTAGATGATCTTGGTGGTCTTTTCCAACCTTCATGATTCTATGAATGGTTACAGTTTCAAAGCAAAAGAGTGGATGAAAATGACTGGAAGAGGAGGCTATGGGGTACATCAGGGAGGAGGCAGTCTCCATACCCCTTAGAGATCTTCCAAGTCTGAGCAAATTAAATCACAGTTACTTATGTGTATGAGCCTATGTTCCATGCCTAAGGTAACAACCAGGGCATGAGTTACCTCCCACATGCTGAAGGATGTTCAGAGAAGATGGAGAAATTTCTGTTCCAGCAATCAAAACCAGTAGCGACAAGTGTCAGAAGGAATACGATGCACTGAAAGGCATGCTGTGCACAAAACAAGTTCTACTTTGCTGAGACTTCAGGGAATAATGGAGTAGGCTCATTAGTTAAGTCCAAGCTTTCTTATCTTGGGGCCATTCATCTTCTGAAGGAATCCCCAAGACCACCAAAAGACTGCTCAGGAGTGAAATCATACCTGGACGAGACCAAAAGAAGAAGTTGAAGACAAAGAATATACACGAAAGCTGGTTGAACCACAGTGTGAAGATAGAGGGCAGGAAGTACGGCATTGTGAGAGAAAACATCCCAAGCCTGGAAAAGGAACAAAGTAAGTAACATGAAAGACAACAAAGGAAAAGGCATAAGATAGTGATAATAAAGAGGAAAACTCCTCTGAACAAAGCAGAGAGGATCTAGAAATATTCCAAGGCTGCTCCAAAAGTAATGCCTCCTGTTTTATGATGTTAGCCCATGATGTCAGAGGCAGATGGTGGTGGTATGGCAGTAAGGCTGAGCCTTTGCAGCAATATTCCATCACATTTTATTGCCATGTCACAGACGGCAGCAGAGGAGCAGTCTGACAAAATGGCATCTGACATGGAAGTGCATAGGAAGCAAAGATGTGTTACTGAATTCCTTCATGTAGAAAAATTGCACCCACTGACATTCACTGACACTTGCTGAATGCTTATGGTGACCAACCAAGTGGATGTGAGCACAGTGAAGGGTGGATGGTGCAATTCAGCAGAAATGACAGCAACAGTGGGTCACCTCTGCTGGCGTAGATTTTTGCAACTGTGGCATGCAGGCTCTTGTTCATCACTGGCAAAAACACATAGCTAATGGTGGTGACTGTTGAAAAACAGTGTTTTGTAGCTAAGAATTTGCTCTATCCAACAGTATTATTGTGCTCTTTGTATCTGCTATAGTTTCTATGAAAATAAATAGGAGGCATTACATACATCTCTTAAAAATAATGATAAAATAATACTGGGCTGTGTTGAAGTGCCATAAGCATCCTCTCCAAACAAAGCAGATGCATCAATTACTCTATGAAACTGCACAAGAAATAAGTGTTCTTTCTCCACAATGGAAAAATGTATTATGATAAAGGACTGAATACCACAAAATTCCTGTCCAGACAGCAGGCTTTAACTCTTCAAACAATAGACTTCTATAAACTCCTTAAACTAGAAGGCAGTTTGACATCAAATACCTTGTTATAGTTTCCTACAACCTATAAAAACCATCTAATATGCTTCAGTGTTTTAATCTGTCAGTAATCCTCTTCACAAAAGTTGTATTTTTTCTCTGATTGATAAATTATCAATTATGTACAAGCAGTGAATTAGCTGGAATAAGAAACTTTTAATATTTGCCTTAAGCCTTTCTTAAATGACAGACCTGGAAGCACTATAGAATTAAATTAAGCATGTAAATGCAAAACAAGGAAAAGAAATACTTGTGACCATTTAATCTTGTTTGTTAAAATAGATTATTTTAATGGAAGAAATGAAAAGGTCATATCTAGATTTACCATGAAACATGCTTAATATTAACAAAGAAGATGAGCTCTTCAGGAAAAGATGCTGAAAGAAGTGAGATACCGTAGATAAGACTAATAAGAATCAGAGAAGAGAAAATTTCACACCAAATAAAAACAGGAAAGAGTGAGAATGACTTAGCTGGAAATTACTGAGTAGAAGATAGGACCAAAAAAGCTAAGTAATGGGATAACTTTTGCAAATGTTAACTTTTTTACTAATGAAAATGGCCAAGTAAAACTATGACAGGATGTTTAATATCCATGACTTTACATTATGTTAGCGATTTCAGTAGATTTTTTAAAATTTATAGTCGGTGTCACAGTCTGCCCTATTTTTTTCTTGACTGATGATCTTTTATGGAGATGTCTTTTTCTTTTTGAACCTTCAGGCTGACAGATGCCAAAGCAAATATTGCACTTACATAAGTCAAACTCTTTGTTCCGTGAGGTACAGTGCACTACAGCTTTAAACCTCATGAAACATTCAGAAGTACAGCAGGAAGGTAGAACAAAAGATCTGGGCATATACTTGTATATTGTTCTAAGCTATAAAGTTTGCTTGACTATATTGAGTTAGTAACAGCAAATGAGCTTACTGAGCACTGAGCTTAGGCACAAGAGGAGCCACATGAAACAGAAGTAAGCTTTACCTGCAAGTGCATTGTTTGGTCTGGGGAACCCAAGGCAGCATCTTGAACCACAAAACATGGTCTGATGAGGTTGGATGATCAGGGAAGCACATGCATCTCACAAGCTAGGTTTTAAAGCAAATAACATTTTAAGAATTACATAGCTGTATTAAAAGGTCATAAAGGATACCACATGCTTTCCAGAGGAATTCACTGAGGGAAAGTGGTTTTCACCAGCTCCTGGAAAACATGTTAATAAATTTTTGTGGCAAATAACATGCAAGGAAAAAAAGAATAGGCAGGCCTCTCAACAGCGTAGGGTGAACAAGCATATCAGGATTAGCATAACTGCAGCTCCCCTAGGTTTCAAGAAAAATACAGAGCTCAGCTTAGGGAGAAGCCAGTTCATTCAGCAACTAAACGCACTGCAGACAGTTACTACCTGTTAAAATTTCAAAACCTTTATAACAGCCATCACAACTGCTCTGGGACTCATGTATTTTTCTTCCTTTTCAGATTCTTTCCCCCTCTATTTCTGAAACTTTTATTTCAACATCATTTGTACTAAAAAATAGGAATAAGACAAAAAAAAAAACAGTTTCCATATGCAGTGCTGTAATCTATTTATTCATTTATGTTCCATAGCAAAAACAGTGCTGCTAAATATTTGTGAAGCATTTCAAAATGATGCCAACCATCAGAATCAGATTTTCTTGATTTTGATATGAGAATCAGATGATGGTAAATTAAGATTCTGCCTGCAGGCAACAGAAGAGTTACGAGAGAGACTAAATGGGACTACGTCTCCTTTCCATCATTAGCACTGTGCAGCAAGTGTAGTCTTGTGTTTTGCTGCAAAACAGTAGCCATTTCACTGAGGAGCATCCTAGTGCTGATGAAGCTGAGCAAAAGCTGTAACACACGTTACTCTGCTAATCCCTGAACTTCGGGTGCAGATAAATCAAAATTGCATTGGTGTTCTCCTACTTCCTTAAGCAGAGATTGGAATTCTATTGCTGTAGATGGAAACAGCATGAACAATCCTAAGTTCAGATGTCAGTTGTAACTACATGCCACGAGGTACTTTCCAAAATTTATCTATATCTATTTATCTGTGTTTAATTGTGTCAAGATTTTTTTCTTTTTTTTCTTTTTTTTTTTTTTTTTTACATCAGAAGTTATGCCAGCTATTAGACATTTTAATTTAAAAAAAGTTTAAGAATGTTCTGGTGAATATTCCAACTTGGCTGGGAAAATAAACCTACAGCACAAAATTATTTTCTCCATGTGAAAAAAAAAAAAAAGCAAACAACAACAAAACCAACCAAACAACAACATAAAAACCAACCCCCCCAAAACCCACTTCTGATTGGGAACATAACAAATCAGTTTTATCAGGGTAAATGATTAATTCTTCTTTAAAAAGCAGGTTTGTGTCCTCAAAACCATTAAGTTGCAGGAGACTGTTGGTGGTGTGGTATGCTCATTTAACTTCCACTTTCCTGTGCTTGAATATTGTCTTGCATTAAGCAGATACATGGTTTTTAGCTGATCTGCTCACCTTCCATTGGCAATTCAGAATTTGGTTCACCATTAACACATAATGAATAAAACTATGGAAATACTCAATTTCTGAATTTCAACTGTGATCTTGTTTCCTCCTTTTAGACTCATGAATGTTTCAACTAAGCTAGACTTGAAAAAATAAAAAGAACATCTGATCTTAATGCATTGTTATTTTCATGAGGAAGGAAAAAATCTTTCTACTATTTGTTTTCACCTCACCCTCCACCACTTTTTATACTTGAAGGGATAGAGATCTCACTTTAAACCTCAGGCAAATGGGAAAACTAAAACATTAGTCTAATGTCAAAAACATTAATGAAGAGCAAATTAAGCATTTAACTTCTTTACATATTTGGAAAAACATTTAGTTATTGCTCCTCCACCCTTTTTCTCTATGCTATTTTCCTAAACATCCAAGTCACAGTCACTTACCATACTGTTTTAGGATCAAATGTATGATGAAATGCACAGCAGGTCTCAAAGCATACTCACTGAAATTTGTTACTCAAGCTGAAGGCCTAGATACAGTTAATGGGAAACCCCATGTACCTGTGTTTAGGCAGGGTAAAAATTCAGATGTACCCTTTGCTCCTGGGGATTGTCTTTCAAACAGCTAAATGAATGCCTGAGAGTTGCTGGGGAAAGAAGTGTGGTGAACTGGAACAATTAACATAGTTTTCAAGATGTTCTTATTTCTTCCACTATCACAGAATCTCAAGCTGAATTTGGAAGTGATCTCTGGAGATCCTGCTCAAGCAGGGCCACCGAGAGCATTGTGTTCAGGCCCATGTCCCAGCAGCTTGCAAAGATCTTCAAGAAGGAGACTCCACAGCCTCTGTACCCTTGCCAGTGCTCCATCATCCCCACAGAAATGCTGTCAGGTGTTCAGAGCAAACCTGTGCTCCAGTTTCTGACTACTGATTCTTGTTCTGTCACTAGGCATCGCTGAATAGAGCCTGGCCTCTGGCCTCTTTATACCCTCCGTTCAAGCATATATACACACTGATGAGAATTCCCCCCAAGCCTCCTCTTCTTCACACTGAACACCCTCACCTTTCTATGCCTCTTCTCACAGGTCAGATGCTTCAGATCCTTTAGGACTTCTATGGCCTACATTCTTGTCCATGTCTTTCTTGTAGTGGGGAGCCCAGAACTGGATCCAGCACTCCACTCACCAGTGGTGTTAGCGGTACTTGGCCTACTACCATTAGCTTTCTTTGCTGCAAGGACACATTACTAGCCAATATGCATTTCCCTTAAACAGTCAAAATATTTTGTTTTTCACGTCTCATGTCTAGAGTGGGAGTTCTTCAAGACACAGCAGAAATATTTACAAGCTAAAAAAATAATTAGTCATTTGATACTGAGTTTGTTTAGTATCACAGTAAAGTCCTAGATAGCTCAGCATTTTATGTATTCTCTTTTTGTCACACAATATAGTTCAGTAGTGAAAATATAGCTCTTCCAAAAAAAAAAAAAAAAAGATTAAAAACACCAAAACAAACTACACACATTCTGGTATTTTTAATGTTATTTTTTTTAAAATACATTTTAGAGTCTGCAGTTCCTACTTGTGATTGAAACAACAGCTATGAAGGGACCACAGCATATCAGAAATGCTGTGATACAAATTACTACAGGATAAAACATTCCTAGTACTTCCATTATTTTCAAAAGTAATGATAATGTGTTATAACCAATGCAAATAGCATTGGTTGCCATACACCTTCCTACATTGCTTCCAGTACGAAACATTCCCAGCAGTGTCTTACTTTATTGTAAATCAGCTGTAATCACTATAGCTCCCAGCACTATCAATCTACAGAGACACTATAAAAGTCACCTAACACTGTACGACCATATGTTAGGAGAGATTTCATATTTCAGACTGAATGCACAGGTGTCACCTGGAATAACTGCCATGAGGTTTTGTATAAAGTTTTATACTTGTTTCCTACAAAGTCATTAACACATATCTGTAAGTGGCTGGTTGCTTGTTTTTATAGGAAGTTCAGTGTCATTTTCCACCAAATTTCACAACATACTGTACAACGAAATCATTAAACCAAGTAAGTTTACCAAGCATTTTACATTTTCATAATGGAAATAAATCCAAGCACTTCTTCAAGCATTTACCTCGTGCATCATACTACATTACTTACTTCTATCTTTGATAGTGTCCTTTTGAGCTTTCCTCTTCCAAAAACTTTTATACCACTTTGCATCACAATGGCTTGTGGAGTACAGAAGGGACAGTATCTCAGCACAACATGAACAAATTTACCTGCTGTAATCAATCTCAGAAAGACTTGTATACATTTCATATTGGGATTCCCCTGACATCATGCAATATGCAGTTCAGAAATCGCGTCTCTCTCAGAGATTTCCCCTCACTACTTAAAATCTCATAACAGTTCAAGATTTGATATTATATTTATGTTCCTAGATACTCTGTCAGAACAGCAGTTCTCAACTTCTTCATGCCACACACCTTTTTCTTTAAATAGGAAACTGAGCTATTCTGTTTGCTAAAACAACAACTGATACAGAGCTAGGAGGACAGACATTTTGAAACTCTTTAACACTGTCCCGTGAGCAACACTTGAAGAAATTCAAATTCTCTTTATGAGAGAAGCATTCTGAGTAAGCAGGATGTAGAATACTTCACTAAGCAATGCAGAGCTATATTTAGGATTTTACAAACGCCATGGTTGATTTCTTTACATCTGGTTTTAAAAGTGTTAATTGGATTTTCCTCAAAAGGAATTCAAAACTTGTTTCAGTTTCACTGACATATAAATTACTATTGCTGAATTGAAGTGTGTCTGTGCAGTTTGATGTGCAAAGCTGGTTTCTATTGTTTAAACCATTGTATTTTCTTGCAATACCTCGTAAATAAATAATTGTAGTGATTCAAGGATTGTTTTGCCTTCTCTGAAGTTTAATAAAACCAAATAATTAAAATAATAAAATAGCATAAGTATAGTAAAACCCTAGCATTAGTTCTTTTACAAGGAAATCAAATGGCAGGCAGAAGTTTCACCCGAGTTTACGGAGAAGCTGATTACAGACATTTCCACCCATACCATTACTTCATCAATCAACTGTTGCCCAATTGCCAACACACCACTGCCAATCCTGTGGTCAAAGTTCCATCAACATTTTTGCAAATTACAATGAGATGAAGAGAATGTTCCTTGAACTATTTACAGTGGAACAAGTACATGGATCTTTTTCATATTTACAACACTGTAATTATTAAAGCAGTTGTTCGATTCTGTAAATTCTCAGCTTTTCTGGGGCTCATTCCTTGACCTATTTAATGTCTATCTCCATGCCCCAAAATTCTTGTCCAGTGAGCTAAAAACTCCTTTGAGGTATTACGGTAGCTCATGAGAGCAGTGTTCTGTGTTTTGGTCTAAGTTCATTACAGATGAAAGAAATCCACAGGACAGGGAAAAAGCAGATGGTGGCTAGGACTTCTCTGCTTTCTTGCTCTTGGGAATCAAGCAGAGAACATGAACTGTAATCCAATTAACTACAACTCTGATGCAAAAAATAGAGAATAAAAAGAAACTACAAAATGTTTCCAGCAGTACAGAGCACCAAAAACAAGGTGTGATAGGCACAGCACAATACAAAACAATAGAAAATTATAAAACAAAAATGCTACCACTTGCATCACTAAGTTAGCCCTGCTACTCACCCTGGGGAAAAAAATAAATAAAAACAACCATGTAGTAAGTAAGAAAGGAAGAAAGAAGGAATTAGTATTTCTCCTTACCTTTTGCCTGTAACTGCCAGGAGATAACGGTAACACGAAGAATAGCTACTACCTGACTTATGAAAGGTAATGATGTAAAAGCTAACTTCCTCCACAAAGTTTCATAAGTAAAGACAACATGAAGTGCTTATTTACTTGTCAACACTAGCAGCTATATTAAAGCCATCAGTGGCTTTAAGATGCTTTGGAAAAGGGCAAAAATATCAACATTGATAAAACTAGAATATTAACGAGGAAAACATGCATTAACACTTGGAAACAAAGGCAGGCCAGTACGTATGCGAAGGTCACTATTTAACTTTCTGTTTTGATTTTTTATTTCACTGATGGCCAGAGATAGCAAGAAATTCATGAAGTACACAGAAACATAAAGACAACTTGTGTAAGATTTTAAAGGATCATTGTGCCCTTCAGTCCTTTGCCTCAAAGTAAACATGATCTTTGATTTTTAACATACAAGTGTATGTTTGTGTATGTTGCGTATACATACAAGTATATGTATATAGGTCTGTCTAGGGAGTTTTAATCCATTTTACAGGGAATTTTTCCAGATTTACACACAACAAAGAACAGAGAGTATTAAAATATGTTGACTTACTATCTTTCTTCCGCCTCTTGTCCTACTAAGAACAAAAGATACCTGTATCATAACGTTCAATAGAATTAAACCTAGGCGTTCTGAATAGGTGGACATTGCTTCTGTCTGTGGTGGAGAGATCAATCTGTTGCAGCAGCTTTCAGTCACCTATGCCACAAAAGTTATCAATCCATGGGTCCAGACACTAAAGCTGGATTATCTCTATTGCTACAGTAGTTTATGGCATCCTTTCATTCAGCCTAAGTAGTCCTCCCCCAGGCAATGCCTGATCCACAGTCAGGAATAGTTAGATAGAATACAGATGGTGGATTCCAGAGATAAGGAGAGCCTGGTACAAAAGCATGCTCTTGGGGACAGAAATTGGCTGTTGGCAGTCTTGTTCAGTAATGAAGATGAACCCCATGAGCTCATGCACTATAAGAGCCTTCAGCAGCCAATAGGCAAAAAGCCAGCCATGAAGTTACTCCAGTAAATTCAAGTGGTAAATAATTTGAGCACAAAGTATAGGCTGTAGCCAGGTGTGACCACTCCTTTAGTGCCAGAGTGCTTCCTAAACCCTACCTCAGTCTGCCTTCTTTTAATAATAATTAATAAAATAATAGTCTTCGACACTGCTGCCATGAGTAATCAATACACTCAAGAGTTTCCATGTAGTTGGTCTAGAAACTTAAGTATAACCACCCAAATTAGTTCTCTCACTATTCTTTCCACTGGCACAGCTGCACCTCCAAAAGGGTGATCTTTTCGTTTACATTCTACATTCAAGGAAGCCTGCACCATGTGTCCCAGTCCTGCTCACTTAAGTTGTGAAACCCATGATCAAGAGCAAGGTATGACTCAAAATCCACTAGCACAAAACCTCTTGCAATATCTTAGCTGCTTTTGCATCCCTTCAAATACAGTTTGCATGAGAATTTTCAGCATCTACAAAGAAAAGTTTCTATAAAAAGCTACAAGTGAACAAAAGAATCACAAAGAAACAAATTTCAGAATCTACTTATTGTTTGCTGTGTGAACAAGCTGCCATTTCTTGAGGAGAGCATCAAGCTTTGTTGATCTTCTACAACTATTCATATATCTTTGCTGTAGCTTATTATAAATTTATTTCCAAATCCAAATACAGTTCCCTAGCTCACTTGAATTTTCTAATCCTGCTGGTTTTTCATTCAGAATTCATCATCCACCTTTTAAGAAATGCATTGACTACCCAAACGCTTTTATTGCACAGAAGAGATTGTCCATTCAGTCCATTTATGCATGTACATATATATATAATTGACACCTTCCTAAACTGTTAGGTACAATCCAGGACTGCCACTACTATCAAAATCCGCAATCAAGACAGACATACCCAAAGGTCTACAGCCAGTGCTTTATGGCCAACACCATGAAGAGGTTGACCAGTACTAGCATCCCATAAAATTAAGATGCTGGCTCAATATAGAGACAAAAAAACTCACAGAATTGAAAAGGCTAAATATGGAAGTTCACCACAGAGCTATTAATTTCTCATATACCAACAGATTATTTTTTATGATCAGCAATTAATTTGTAGATAGCATTCCAGTTGAGCAAATCCACTCAAGTCACACAGAAATAACAGAGGTAGAATTGGTAACCATTCCCTGTTAAAATCACAGAGACTACAGAAATTAAAGCTTAACCAAGTTATCCTTTAACAGGACCTCAGGCACAGATGTAAACAAATTCAAAGGAGCATCTCAGATGGTTGCAATCAGTCAGCCCACTGCAGGTGTTGTACTGGTCTTCAACATCAGAAACTATCAATGTATCTACTAGTTTTCATTTCACTTTGGCTGTTCATGGAGCCCTCTTCTGAAAAAGATTTTATTGTTGTTTTTAAGTTTACAGTTTCAGCTCAACTTTTTTATACAGGAATTTTATTTGCATTATCACTTCTGGCTTACGCAAGAAAGCTCTCAGATAGATCTATACACAAGGAACAGATATGTTTGTTGATGCTCTTTAAAATAGCTAGTATTTTCTTGTGAAAACCAGTTTTTAAAGTCATACAAAGACAATTTAAACTGACTTCCTCTTTTTACAGATAAAAATAGAAGCAACTGATTTGTTTTCAATACTAAGGATCACCTGAAGCTTTTACACAGAAGACAAAAAGTGTTCAACTGCTTACCTGCAAGAGTTGCAACGTTGTATGAGATGTATTCAGTTGTTTCTGGATCCTTAAGAGATAGTTTATGGTGCTATAGATTGCCAGTCTAGCATTAGCTGACAATGTAAGAGGATGCTAAAGAAATCATGATGATTATTTTATTAGTTAAGAATAAGTCAAAATTCAAGAAGCAAATTATTGTAATGATTTCTTTAAGTCAAAAACTGCTGTAAAAGCAATACAGGTGAAGACTGAAACACAAATTTAAAAGGGCATGCAGAAGTAACTTTGTCATTCTGAGAAATTTTAAATAAAATTCATAAACATAAAAGTTTTTTGTTGTTATTGTTCATTTGTTTTTAAGTTTAGTGAAAGTTCACTTACGGAATTAAATATGGATGTAGACCCTCAAAGAACACATTAAAAATATCAGGCTCCCTAATGTACCACACATCATGTTTTTTGTATTGTACCACTTCTTCCACCCCACTGCACCACAAAACTGGGCTGGCAGAATCACACAGAATGGCCTGGGTTGGAAGGGACCTCAAGGATCATGAATCCCCAACCCCCCTGCCACATGCAAGGCACCAACCAACCTCCTCATTTAATGCTAGACCAGGCTGCCCAGGGCCCCATTCAACCTGGCCTTAAACATCTCCAGGGATGGGGCATCCACAACCTCTCTGGGCAGCCTCACCACTCTCATAGTAAAGAACTTCCCCCCAACATCCAACATAAGTCTTCCCTCCCTCAACTTAAAACCATTTCCCCTCATCCTGCTGTTATCTACCCTTTCAAAGAGTTGATTCCCCTCTCCTCTGTAGGTTCTCTTTAGGTATTGAAATGCTGCAGTGAGGTCACCCCGCAGCCTTCATTTCTCCAGGCTGAACAAGCCCAGCTCCCTCAGCCTGTCTTCATAGGGGAGGTGCTCCAGCCCTCTGATCATCTTTGTGTCCCTCCTCTGGACCCTCTCCAAAGCTCTCTGTCCTTCTTGTACTGGGGGCTCCAAACCTGGACGCAGTACTCCAGATGGGGCCTCACAAGAGCAGCGTAGAGGGGGACAATCACCTCCCTGTCCCTGCTGGCCACCCCTCTTCTAATGGAGCCCAGGATACCATTTGCTTTCCGAGCTGTAGGGCACACTGCTGGCTCATGTTAAGCTTTTCATTCATCAAGACCCCCAGGTTCTTCTCTGTTCTCCAGAACTGCTCCTTCCAGTTTGCATAGATTCCTCTGGCCCAAATGCAAAACCTTGCACTTTCCTGTGTTAACCTCATTAGGTTCACCAGGCCCACCTTTCAAGTCTGTTGAGGTCCCTCTGAATGGCATCCCTTTCTTCCACCATACCAACTGCACCACTCAGCTTGGTGTCATCAGCAAACTTGCTGAGGGTGCACTCGATTCCATCATCGATGTCATTGTTAAACAGCACATAAAGATGTTAAAGTAGCACCATTACAGCATATAACAAGAGAGAGTTGCTGAGGTACATCCTTTTTCTTCTTCATTACAAACTACTGTAGAATATCCAAGGCAGAATTTCACATTTTAATTTGCCTAAAAGTAAAGCCAGTTGAAGAGGTGTATAATTTCCCAATTTCCTATTCAGTTATCCACTCACTGGCATAGTTCTTCATCCTCCCATTCTTTTGCAAATCTGCCTGCTTGTGAGGCCATTGAAAATACCGGATTTCCAAAATTAAAACATACATTTAAAAAAAAATTTGACTCATTTTGCTGAGCCAATTATTATAAACAGACAAAAATTTCTCCTGTCCCTTGGAATACCCTTCCAGGGGAGTAACTTGGTCAGTATCAGCCAACCTAAAATCACACCACTGTCAAGAGAGTAAATTTCCCCAACTCCTGTCCCTAACTGCACCTTCTTGTCCCCCTATGCCAGGAAAAGCTGTTCTGCAGCTGTAGACCCAACTCATAACTGATTGTTTTTTTACAATCTGAGTTTAGTTTTCATCTGTTTTGAAAGCAAGCTAAGAGGAGTGTTTCACATCCTGATAGCACCACCTAACTGGAGATTGCCAAAAAGCAAAAAGCAGCAGTTCTATTCTTCCCAACCAATTCTATATATACAGTCTATATATACAGCTTCCCCTGAACTAGACTTAACAACCATGAAATTTTTTTTATTATTATTATTTTTTTTTAAATGAATTGTAGATTTTGATGTATGATTGAGTTTTCTTCAGTAGCAGCTTGCATGCATGGTATTAAAATTTGCTGTAACATCAAAATGCAGTCTCAGTGAGTGATAGCAATGGTTTAGCCACTAAAAATGAGAGTTCCAAACTTCTTCCCTCACTCTCTTACCCTCACAGAGTTAGGAAGATTTCAGTCAACTCACAAGGAATCAGTTAAGCACCAGAGGCAGCACCAGGGAGTGCCTAGCTTAGAGCTGACACAGGAGGAAAAAGTGGCACGCAGGTGTGGGAGAGTGCAGGCTTACCTAAGTCAGTGTTATACAAGTTCCCTGTGTCTGAGCTGTCTCTTGCCCAGCCTGGCTGAGACACTGGTGGAAAACATTTCTTCTCAGCTTATTTTACTGCTGGTCTCACTTCTAGCCTGACTTACCACGCCTTAGTCAAGCAGCAAAGTCACTTCAATTATGACAGTGGGAGAGCATAGCCTTTGTCTTGCAGCAGCAACTAGCTACAACCACACAGTTTAGAAGTCCTATGAAACTTTACCTTGAGATGAGATGCATGCTCCAGGCAGCTTTGCTAATCAGTTTGCTGAGTTTCCATGCAGTCTTCCCTGCATTCAATCCTCATCTGAAGAAATACAATATCTAGGGAAACAAATACTCACAGGGATTACTTCATATATCGTGCAGGTGTTTCATAAATGAGAGGGTGTATGGGAACTGCTGAGTCACGGCCTGAACCTCTGATTAGTCACCTGAGGCGAGCAATGAGTCAGCCCTGGGAGCACAGCTGAAAGCAATTCACCTGTGCTGCAGGAAGGGGTGGAGCCTGGCTCCACCTCTCCTAGACCCATTTAAGAGCTGACTACCAGTGGGGAAGGATCTCTCTCTTCAGAAGATCTATTCCACTGGAGTTTCCTGAGCAAGCCCACGAGATGGGTAAGCATCCTATTTGTTCTCTTTGTCTTGCTGTGCTGTTGTCTCTCTCTCTGTATCATTCGTTTTCTACCCTGTAAGATGCTGCATAGCCAGCGAAACCGACCCTAACCAGGTCGGGGCCAAATGCTCACACAGTCCCCAGGAATAGGTGAAGCAAAATGGTGTTTATTAAAATGTAGCAGGCACTTAAATATTCTTGTCCCACTTTGTCTACACCCCTTGCATACATGCTGTACTATTATGGGGCAGCACCTGGCAAGCTCTGAGCATAGGGAACCTGACCTGTCACATACCGTCTCCTTGCCACGCCTACTACACTGTGCTTAACTCTCTTGCTTATTTTGTTACTATAACATCTTAATATTATTTGATTGTATAATATTCCTTTATATAATTTTCATTGCTTATACACTTAGCGAGCCAGGCAGGCAAGTTGAATATACTAAAACTTACACTATGTCCTTTCTTTGGAATTTCTGTAAATGGTTCAAGGGGGGGGGGAATACTACCCCCCTAGATAAAATGATTCCAGGGCAGATCCCAGGATTTGTGGGATCCCCTTATTATGAACTGGCA